CACTTAATATTCACGCTGCTGCTCACTGGGCTGCTCAGTTCAGATGACTGGTGGGAGAAATATTTGTGGCTCCCGTCACAACGTTTTGGAGACTGAAGTATTTGCCTTTTGAGCCATCCCTGTGCAGTGCAGACAAAGGCTTTGGAAGACCCTTTGAAATACCTAGTCGCACCGAAAACTTTAGGATTATGGTATTTGATACAGAAATGCAAGCATCTCTGGTAGGTTTCGTTTACCTGATAAAAACTGTTGATGCTGACCTAATCTGAATTGTAGATTTGAGAAGTGAAACAAGAAGCACAGCAGTAGGATCACGTCATTTTGTAGTTACAGGAGAGCAAGTGCTGGTAGTCCCAGGATTTCTGCAGGTGAGAGCAGGCGTTGCAGGACATGAAGGTCTTCCCCTGCCTTCAGCTGTCAGAGCCTGGAGAGGGGCCCAGCGTCAGGCAGAATTGGCTGTTGCTGCAGTTTGAAGCCAGCGAACCAGTTCTACTGCAGGTGGCTTGTTGGCTGCAAGCTGAGATAGTGAAGCTTTGCAAGTCATGAGGAGATACCTCTGTCAACAGATTGTGGATGAATGTAGGGCATCACTCACCCTCACGCTGTTTTAGAAGTCTATTCTCTAGAAGTCAGATATTATTTCAGGAACATCCATCAATGTGCCCTCCTAAAACAGCCAGCAAATCTGTTAAGCAGAAGGACAGTGCCAAGGTGCTGGCAGGGGACTAACAATTCAGCATGGGCAGAAATAAGCCAGAGAACAGAAATAATTTGATAGTAATTCAGATACAGAAGTGGTTCAACTGGGAATGAAAAACACAAGAAAAGCAATTTATGAAAAGACGAAACTCCAAACAAATTGACAGTGAAAGCACCAAACTTCAAATAAGCCAGAAATAAACAACAAAAAAACTCAATTCACTACAAAAGGGGAAATCCATAAGCAAGTGATATGTAAATTACAATTTTAAAAAGAAACATCTGTGCTGAGTTTACATATTCAAGAAAATTATCACCAGGGACTACATTGCCTTAAGTGCAGCAAAACCAAGCAAACAACAATTTGAAGTGCAGCTTTCAGAAAGTTAGTTGTTCATGCTGAGAGTGCTGCAAGACAGGGGTTTCAGATGTGGTTAAAATCCATACGTGACATCAGTGACTGGTCTTTTCCAAAACCTCCACTGATTTTTCTCTTAATTTTTCCCAGTCTTTGGCCAATCCTCTGTGGCCTGCAACAGGAGACAAATAGGAAGGAGATGGTTCCTTCTGTCCATCTGCCCTCCCATGACAAAGCTCCACAGGGAGAGTTCAGTGCTTCAGGCAAGTAATTCTGGCAGGGTGAGGATTGTCAGGGCTCAGTCCACCAGAGACAAGGGGCAAAGAATATGTCCAAAAAGGCCTGCATCTGCCCAGGGACCATGGCTTCCAACAGCTCCCAGCAACTGGGGAGAAATTTCTGATAAGGACAGTGGCAGTTTGGGAGAAGAGGACTTAAGTCTTGGAGAGTCTCTCTGTAAAGGCCACGATCCCCGTCTCTTTGAGGCGGAGGAGGGCTGTGGCATGTGGGGTGGGCTGCGTGCCCCTACGGTGTTTGAGAAACCTGCTGACTGCTCAGCACTCATGGCCTGCGGATCTGGTGGGTTGTCCTGGTGATCCCATACAGTTTGTCCTTCTATAAACGGACTCACCAGCTTTATGCATTAAAGTTTTGTCTCTCGGGAGTGCACCACAGACACTGGTAATTTTGTTTGACTGGAAAGTACCTTCTAGTTGTCTTGGCTTGTCCCATCATCCCCAGTGCAAAGCTGCTGCGGTACAAGTTTCGGTGCAAGACTCGCGTGGACTTTGCTGACGGGGGCAAAACTGAGCTGTTGCACTGTAATGATTGCCCCGAATTGTGCTCATTAAGGGACCTCCTGGCAGGAGTCACTAACTCCCTTCCTGCAGGAAACTTTGCATTAACTAGATGCTAGCTACCTACAGTCTGGAGGTTTTTTGCCTTCAAGTGACAAAGCAGTGGTATAAAACTGCTGTCCGAGTGCAGGGTGTCGCAAGGACTTCATAGCACAGAGGTCATGGTTGAGAACTCCAGGCTTGGGTCAGGTTTTTGGCCCCTGTGCATTTGTATTTTAGCTTTAAAACTTGATCTGCCTAATCCGAAGTTCTGCTAAACTCTGCAAAATTGCCGTATGCATATTTCGCATGATTCGCCGTGAAGTCATGTACAGCGGCACTCCTCGGGCAGCGTACTTGCAACTTTTGGTTGCTGCAGAGGTCTCTGAGAGCCAGCACTGACTTTGTTGAGATCTGATTGTGGTAATGGGGCTGAACAGTGAACAGCGGTTGTGCATCTCAGCATTGATCCTGTGCAGGAGAAAGAAGGGCGATACAAATGGCCTGGAGGATCACTTGCAGGCAGCGTTGCTGTGAGAGCGCCCATACTGACAAGAACACACAAGGGAGAATAAAAGTCAAGGGTAGCTGTCACAGATTCACAAAGGCTTCTTCACTGGAGACTGGCTGTTTCACTTAGGGCAACAGGTCAGGGTATGAGGGTTGTTTGATATAAAGTGTGCTCAAAATATTAAATGATAGCTTCATAGAACGTCAGGAATGTTGGAATAGAGGTGGCTCTATTTTTAAATTTTTTTATTTGGCAAAGCAATTAGTAGCAAGGACTTGCTAAGAGAAAACAGAAATATGTTATGCCTCGGCTGAACACTTGTTTCGTGATAAATTCATTTGTGGACTAGATTGGAGGCAGCTGCTGGCTGGAGGGTGATTGCATTCACCCATTTGGAGGGTGAGTGCACTTTCTTGTCGGGAAGCAGCTCTGGTTTGGTGCAGGGGTTCTAAGCAGATCGTGGTATCAGAAGCCGGTGGGTCACGTACTGACCTGAAAATCTTCTGACTGATACCCTGTTCCTGCTCTTCCCATGGCCCATTGTGAGACTTTTACTGGTTGTAAATGGAAGGAAACTCCAAGGCAAGGTTTTGGTGATTAGAAGAACAGGTTGGCATTTCTTGGGTTTTTCTATTTTTTCTTCCTCTCCATTTTCCTCCTCTCTGCATCCTAGAGTTGTGAAATAAGTGCATATCGGGTCTGCAAAGAAGTAAACTTCTGTGTTTGAGTGTTTTTTTTCATATTTGTTACTTCCACAAGAACTGACCATATGTTGTTGGGAGAAAAAGTTTGTGAGGATGCACAGTGCTTAAAAATACTTGAACACTTTAACACTACAGTTGTAATGTTAATAAAATAACAATTTTGATAAATGTTGATGACTTACTACCTAATTTTATATCACCCAAAGTTCTGAAGAGTCCAGTCCACAAACAGATAATTCAGATACCGAATTATTGAAGAGAAGAGCTTAGATTGGATGCTGAGATAGCTTTTATTTCAAGAAATTGCTAAATTTGACACTGCTTGTACTTTTAAATAAACTGTTTGTTCTTGATATAGTTCATAAGTAATCCAGGTCCTGAGGCTGATGAAGAAGGGATCTGTACACTACCAATGTTTTTTCTTGTTGTACAAATCAAAAAACAAAAGTTCTCAGAGTATAATTTGATGTATTTTCTTTCCATTCTTTCTTGATGCTGGATTCCCTGTGTTCTTTTTAGTTAGCATTATCTGCTTCCTAACAGGAAGTTATTAAAAGTTATTAAAAGTTCAGTATAATGAGCAGTGTTTATTTGCCAGGCTGTTTGTGTTGGCAGCTGCCTGCACACATTCAGTGCAGTGCTCTTGCGAGCATTATAGCGAGACTTCCCTAAAAGCTTGTGTTATTCAAACACGGGAAAGGGATCCATCAAATGAAACTTGATTTGGTCAGTCTGTGAACTATGAAGGACCACACATGATGCTGTGGTTGTACTTCTGATGCATGTGCATTCCCTTAATTACAGGGTACCCATTCTTCTGTCATGAAAGTGCCAAAGGCTTGCTTACCTCCCCCTTCCTTTTTTTTTCCCACTTGGCTGCCCTGTGTATAGTCTTTGCAACACTAAACCCATATTTACATGGAAATATGTGCTTTTAAGAGAATGTGGACACAGGTAGAGCCATGTGAAGAGACTCCTAAAATATTTATGGATGTAATTTCTGTTTCTTGTTCAGACCACCTTATGCATTTCCTTATGCATCAAATGTCAGTGTGCCTCATTTCTGCAATGCAAGTTTGTGATTTGGCCTTGTTTTCCTAAGTTTCTGAATTCTTAGCCAAGTAATTTGGTTTGATTTAAAAGGTGTATTTATTGGTTTGTTCGGTTCTTCCTGACCACATAGAATTAATGTTCTCTCTGTCCCCTGTAGCTGCACTTTCTCTCTTCTGGGTATTGGAAAGCATACCAAATCATTATATCGTTTCCAGATTTTGCTTTTCCTGTCTGGGTGAGATGGCCTGCAGGAAGAATATTTCCGAGTTTTAAAAAAAATACTACATTGAACATATGAGATGAGTCAAACTCGTAATTGCTGGAGCTGTTATTGTTTCTTTGAACTTACATAAACACAGAAAATTTGTTAAGAACCAGGTGAGGTATTCTCACGTGCCTTATCTCCCTGAAAAGTGAATGCTTGAGCGGTGGTATGACTTGGCTTTTGTTTGGAGAAAGGCAGTTGTAGTTTGTTTTGGTTTATCAGGCATACAAAAGTGCATTTGCTATGCTAGGCCTTCCTACCTGCTGGCTCTGCAAAGTAAATTGGGGCTCTTCTGTTTATGTATTATTAACAGCAATACAACTGTGGTAGTTCTACAGTAGAAGTAAAACAAGTGTATGTAGTAAGTAACTTTTAGTACAATAGCTTACTGTGCTCAGTAGTGAGTTTATTATGAAAAATGGCATTCTCTGTTTCTAGAGTGGATTTTTTTCAATATTTTATATTGAAAATGAGACATATATTGCATCTGTGTAATGTATTACCCCATTTACCGCTGTGTTCTAACATACTGGGTTTTTTTGCTTACAACATTTTACTTCATTTTCTTTTGCAGTATAAAGAAATGTAAAAATTATTACAAAGTCCTTGGAGTGTCAAAAGATGCAGGTGAAGAAGACCTAAAGAAGGCTTATAGAAAACTTGCTTTGAAATTCCACCCAGACAAAAACCATGCACCTGGAGCAACAGAGGCTTTTAAAAGTAAAATACCATTTTTAGTTATAATTTCTTTTATGATTAAACTTTGTGAGATTAACAGAAATACATCTGCATTGGTCAGTTGTCTTTTTACATAATTATTGATGTGGTGTTTTGTTGCTGTGTGTTTAATACTAAACTGACATTTTTATCCAAGAAAATATTTGAACTTTATTGTCATGACATATATCTAGAAGTATAGATAAATAATGTGGATTTTTGCAGTAGGGTTCAATTTCAGATGATTGACTGTTATTTTCAGGTACAGGGAGCAAATACTTGATCTGTGAAACCCAGTTGCACTTTTTTACTGTTACTAACTTAATGGAGTCAATTGAGTCTTACTGTTTTGAAGCTTTGCTATACTTGAGTTTGGAAAAAAACAAGTAATACTAGATAGCAAAATGCTTTTTTTACTGAATCACATGCCACGCTATTACCCCTTCCTTGAGAATTCCTTGTGTGTGTGTAGTTTTACTACTTTTTTCACACAAAAACACTTGAGTTCAAACATGGCCTTATTGACAGTTGCCTTTGCCCATTTCTTAGGTAAAATTTACGGTCTAGCTTGACCTGATCTAAGGCTGCCAAGCGTAGCCTGCATGAGAGATATTGTTGAGGGAAAGCTTTTTAAAGAAAACTATGTCTTCATTTCAGATGCATATGAGAAAGAATGTGAATCTGTAAGAAATGATCATGCATCAATAAACAATTTGATCATGACACATGTTTTTTCTTATTTTTTCCCTGTGGAAGGTTTATATGCCATTTGATCAAATTGTTCAGATGAAACTCTTAAATTGGAGGAAGGAAAAAAAGAACAGAAATAGTCCTGAGCAAGACTTCTGATATAGACTTTAAGGGATAATTATGATAATATATTAATAATGCCAGATGAAAAGAACATAACAGAAAATTTGATTGCTAAAGATTATTTTAATACAGCTGTGTGATGGCTTTATCTAAAAGAGGTATTATTCTTTAAAATTGTCTCCAGCCCTATGAATAAAATAACTCTTCCTTGTTAATAGCATTTTAAATAATCTTTAAAATGTTAGCAATCTGTTTCTTATTATTTATTTTTTTATTCAACATTAACACTTTTTACAGATCTGATTTCTTCAGTTTAATTTTGCTTTCTGGTTCTTAACTACATGAACAAGTGAACAGAAAAATTTGTAGGGGAAACTTGTTTACCAAAAGTTATTTAATGAAATGAAGCATTTTTCTTGCATTGAAATTATTGTAATCTTTTCGTATAGCTGAGTAAATTTATGATTTAGTTTGTCTTTAAAGGTGTCTGGTGAGTTTCTAACATCCAGCTGAGAAAAAGAGTTTCATAATAATAGCTGTTATTTTATAATTATGCTTTATTTTAAGGAAAGGTCACATTAGAAAACAGAATTGAGTTTGATGTTAGGCAAAGTACTTACGTAGAACTTGAGCTACCTTGTACTACTCTTCTGTTGTACTGAGCAGCCTTCCTGAGGTTATATTTTAGATTTTAAAGTTTGTGCAAATACAATAACTTCTAATCTTTTGGAATCTCTTTTACTACCTTCATCAAACATCTTTCCTTTGAAACTTCTGAGCAGGTGTTTTTCATTACTCATGTCTTTTTAAAGAAAATTATATTTGAATCAAATCAGTTGTTAGTTAGTGTCAAATAATCAAAAGCAAATAAATAGTTAAAAAAGATTGTTGACCATGCCATGACAGTATTGTGTCTTCACTTTATGTGCAGTCATCTGATTTATGTCTCCCCAAGTTCTTCATTGTTGGGAAAATCTGAGATTTTATTACCAATTTTATCCTCACGATGAGTAACAGAGGAACCTTGTAGCAGTATTTGGTGTCATGCTCTCAGTGCAAATACCCAGGCTTAATTTCTTCAGGTTTTCTCCTCCACTTAAAGGAACTACTAGTGATTATTTCTAAGGGCATCTTAAAAGGCACAGAGCTAAGACTCATTAACTTTTTTTTTTTAAATTGGTTAATATTGAAAGCATTAATTATGCAAGGCCATAGTCTTATTTGCCTGTGTTGAGGTCACGTCATGTGTTGCACCTGTCATGAGCTTTCAGTGACTGAGGGCTTTTCGACACTGAAAAGTATAATCCCTGTGCCTTGTGTTGGTTGGCTGCAGAAGCAGGCTTTTGTTGAGGAGGCCTGGAGGAGAGAGGAGAAAGGGTTTAATGAAGATACGACTGAGTGGTGATTGTTCATCAAATGCCGACAGAAATTTTCCTTCAGCCTGCAAGAGCTCTGTGTGTGTGCGTGTGTACAGCAACCAGGGTTAAAGCTTGTAAAATCAGCTGAGCTTGTGGGTTTTCACACCGATTCTTTCACTTAACTTGTTTTTTCCCTTTCTGCTGTCAAAATTGAAGTTGTTCATTTGTGACAATGTAGCGTGAATAGAGACAAGCATCCAGGCCAGGCACTCCAAAATTTGAGGTCGTGTTGATGACCTGAGGAGCATATGTGTTCCTGTCACAGCATGTGTGTTGTGCTCCTCATGCTGCATCATGCAAAACTTGGTGTTATTAATGTAATCCTTAAAATATCTTAAGAAGTATGTAGAAAAATACATTCACGCCCTTGTAAAACAACTGAGTTTCGAAGAAATCACCACTGATCAAATTAAACCAAAGAATATCCACTGAGTCTGTGATGTTTTTAGGCCAGGCTGCTTGAGCAACCTGAACTTTGCGATTACCGAGCTTCAAAGCTTTCATTGTAATGCTTGATGCTTTTTTTTGTAATTGCAGTGAGAGAGAACATTTTCACAGGTGTAGGTGTTCCCTCAGAACAAGAAATAAAGCTCTCCTGCCTTCTGCCTAGTTCAACAGGATAAAAGGCCTTTGAATAGCGTTGGTGGGAAACTTTGTGGAAGCTGTGCTAAGAAAAGTAGAGATGTTGATTTGTAACATACAGCAAAGGATATAATACAGTGCCTATTCTTGACTTTGAAATTGCAATTTTCATGCTGGAATAGCTCTTATCTTTCACTTATGTGAGTTGTCTTTTATTCCTGCTTCAGAAATTGGAAATGCGTATGCTGTGCTGAGTAATCCAGAAAAGCGAAAGCAGTATGACCTTACAGGCAGTGAAGAGCAAACATGCAATCACCCTAGCAACGGTAGATTCAACTTCCATAGAGGTTGTGAGGCAGATATTACTCCAGAGGATCTATTCAACATGTTTTTTGGAGGGGCCTTTCCAACAGGTATTTGTATACATCGGTATAACCATTGGGATATACTGGCATTAGAGTTTGTGACAAGAAACAGCAAAATTACTCCAACCTGCCTCTGACCCCAACTGTTTAATGTGCACCACAGTTTATTTTTCCCATAAGGGTTGCTAAATCCCCAAAATACGTGTTCAGTTCTTTAGAGTTACTATGGTGATTCTGTGGAACATGAAATCCCTTGTCTTCAGGCTTAAAACCACTTGGAAATTAAGTTGTGTTATCTTGTGTGCCATTGTTCAGTAACATTAAATACTTTACTGCTTCTGTATTGACCTCTAAATAGCGGGGGGTTTACATGTTTTAAATGTGGATATTTCTTTACGTAGGTAGTGTACATTCATTTTCTAATGGTCGTGCTGGCTACAGTCATCCCAATCAGCATCGTCAGAGCGGACCTGAGAGGGAGGAAGAGAGGGGTGATGTATGTTTAAGTGCATTGACTTTTAACTGTGGATTGTGCAATTTGCTTACAGTGATGTGATTGTAGGGGAGCTCTGTACCACGGAGGAGGATTTGTACTTGCCAGTTATGTATTTTAAAACTTTGGCAGATGAAAGCCCTACTAATTGGTAAATAGACATGCAAGTTTGAGAAGATAATAGTCTAGTTTTGTAAATCTGTTGTTGTATGGCACTATCTTACCAGTGACTGGTAATATTAGCCTAAGTATGCCACTAATTCTGGTCACTAATCCTTGTCTGCATTTAAAAATCTGTTTGGGCGGAGGTAAGAATTGAACTTAAGGCTCAGTGTTAATTATATGAATTACACCTAGTCCTGTATCGTTACATATGACCGGAGAGATGAGACCAAATCATGGCACACAACGTAGATGAATCCAGCTGTTCGTTTAGTAGTTGTTGCTACATGCTAGCCCATGAACTGTGGCAGCTTGAGCACTTGATGAATGCTGTGTATGCACTGGAAAGTTACAAGCGTTCGCAGGTTTAGTTGTCATTTTCCTGGCATCTTTTGATGTTTAAAGCAGAAAGTCACACTTAGCATTAAATCTTGTCAAATTTACCTGCTTATTTGATGCCGTTTTATGAAATACCTGAATGTGTTTTGTTCCTTAGGGAGGTTTCTCTATGTTCATTCAGCTGATGCCTATTATTGTGTTGATCCTTGTCTCCTTGTTGAGCCAGTTGATGGTATCTAACCCTCCTTATGCCTTATACCCAAGATCGTAAGTAACACTCAATTACATTAGGTTAAAACTGAGGGGAGGATATTGTGGTTACCCTCTCCCACTTAGAAGCATTTTAGACAACTTTCCGTTAGTTGGGCCTTGATTTCCCATGGTGAGGAAAGGGAGGGAAGGTATAGATGAAGCAGAACAAAGCTAGAGAGTTAGGTTCTAAGAACACACTAACAGAATGTAATGGAGAAAAGAAGTCAGCAGCCCCTGGAGTTCAAGAGGTCTCCCAATACAAGGCAGTGGGGCCACACAGTGTAGCACGTTGTGAAGGTGTTTACATCTCCAATGTATTTAATTGAATCCTGAAGCCTGCTAAGGCTCATTTTTCTTTCAGGGGTCATCTGAGCTTGTAGCAAGTGACTTTCTCATCTTATTTAAGTTCTGAACTAGATGAGGGCTGGGGAAAATGTCTGTTCTTTGCTTCATTCTAAGTAATGGTAAAATAGTTTATTTTCATTTTCTTGCAAAAAATTCTACAGAGAAACTTACCTGTTTGGTACAGTAGGATGTATAAACCTTTTTCCTTGAGAGAAATCAAGTATGCAGCTAGCTAGTAGACTTGGCCCACTCACCAGCACTGTTTTAAAGGTCCTTAGTTCCTTGCAGAGCTCTTAGTCCCACGACAGAAAGTTTTCTTTTCTCCTCTCTTATTTTTTGGGGTTCTTTATTTCTGGATTGTGATGTTTTTCCCTCCTGCAACTAAGCTGTTGTGATGCTTATCAACACTTTTCTGCCAAAATGTTTGTGCACAATCTTTGATTTTTAATCTGCAGAGTGCCAGCCAGAAAATGGATGTGTCGGGGCTGACAGAAAACATTGTACAATGGAGATGCCTGTACTGGGTTGCTACAGAATAGTGACCTGTTTTTCTTTTTGTTGAGTTTGAATTTAATTTTCTATTCACAAAGCTTGTATTTGCCTAAAAAGGTATGAAACAATTGTCTTACTAAAGTGGTTTTTTTTCCTGAGATAAAGGGTTTAAGCAGCAGAAGTTTAAAACTCAGGCAAATGTAGTAATTTTATTTTCTGGCAGATTTTACAACTGTTCATTTCATTTCTTGTCTTGTAATGTGTTGCTTTTCTGCAATAGCAAATAAATAAATACCTAGTCTCTCTCCCACCCCTCCCTTCTTTTTTGCAGAAGTACAGGGCAAACCATAAAAATGCAGACAGAAAACCTGCATGTTGTTTATTATGTCAACAAGGACTTTAGAAATGAATACAAAGGAGCGTCATTACAGAAAGTGGAAAAGAATGTGGAAGAGGATTATGTGTCCAACATTCGTAATAACTGTTGGAAGGAGAGGCAACAAAGTAAGTTCGGCAATATGTGTAATTTCATGAAAGCATGCATTACTGTAAAAAGAGATTGCCTAAGACAAGAATTAAGTGCTTGAATTATTAAAATATCAGAATGGAAAAGCAAGTGTAAGGTTTTTTTACTGTTTCTCACTTATACAAGTGTCCCCAGTGACACTTAATTTCTGTGTTTTACTCAGTGATCTAACAACAGTCTGCAAATCATCAGCAATTTTAGCCTGCTAATCTCTTTGTGACCATTTCTCAGAAAATTAAAGGCTACACTGAATTGATAACGAGAAAGAAATAGCTCTAAGTTAAGGACAAAAGCTAAGAATCCTTATTTCTTCCACATTAGCTTATCGTGGCTGTATCTCATTTCCCTAGGTGCTTTTATATACATAATAAATATGACAAAATCTTACTTAGGTGTTTCCAGAGAAGGAAGAAAATAATCTGGACCACAGTACATACAAACACTGCTTTTCCAGGCAACCAAGGAAGGACACACAGCATATAAATCAGTACTTAATCTTTTGCCAGTGATGAGTATTTTTTCTCTCTGGACTTGGTACCTTGGCTACCTCAGACCTTAAAAACGGGCCTTTATTTTTGTAGTTCGCCGTCTAATTTAATGTTATGCAAGGAGCTATTTTGTTTCAGAAGCCTAGAATTCAATGTTAAAGCGTAAGAATACTGAATAACGTCGACCACCTCCAAATCATCATCAGTTTTAACCCGTTATTACCTGTGACCATTTTGTGAGCCTTTCATTCTTTTTGAGAACAGCTCTGCCAAACTGACATCAGCATTGAAACCAGATGATTTCAACTTTTCAGCTGGTAGACTTCAGCAATAGCTTACTGGATAAATAATTTGCTCGTGAACTGTCAGCAAAACTGACCAGAAGCAAAGAGAATGTTCCTCTCTGAGCGAAATCATGTGTTCCTGCACAACTTTACTCTCTGCAGCCCAGTGAGGCCCAGCCTTTCAGCTGACACGGCGCCTTAGTTTCTCCCAGTTGTAAAAGAGAACTGGGCGTTGCAGCTGCTGAAAGGCCTCAGCGGGGCAGCGCCCCTTCATTACAGTTGGCCTGTACATACGGAAATACAAACTGCATTGCCCGGCCAGAGCAGGGCCAATGCTTCCTGGAGACCTTATGCTCCTTACTCCTGACTTAACGTTGCTCATGCACAAGTAAATCTCTACAGTTTTTACAAATTGCTGACAGGAAAAACTCGTTGATGGGTCACATGTATACAAGAGAAGCAGCAGCGCTTTGGTGGGAGGCTTAACAGATTATTGCCTAGCCTACAGGGTCTGAGCAAATGTATTGGGTTGGCCTGGCCAGATTTTGGT